AGGTTGGCCGGGCCGAGCATTTGCCTTTACACCGCGCCTCCCTTATCCCGCGTTCCCTTAACGGCATCCTCGGTATCTCTCCCTCGCGTTCGAATTTCGTGGTCCCACGTCGATGCTCTCTCGTCTCGTTTCGTCCATCCGTCCGCTCGTCCGTCCGCTCGTCCATTCGTCCGGCGTTGCCGCGCGGATTCAATGTCCATGCAAAGTAAACGGCGGCCCCGGGAACGGCTGTCAATTATCCGTTATATACGGCCCTGGCCCTCGAACCCATTCTTAACGACCCCTTAAAGCTGGCCACGGAGAGTCCCAGCCCCATCCCCACGCCCCTCTCTGTATCGCGCCCGAAAACTCGGTGGCATGAGGAGGCCTTCGACAACAGCCAAGACGACGACTACCACGACGACGACGACGACGACGACGACGACGACGTCGTCGAGAGGACACGAGAGCACGTACCAAGGAACGAACACATGACACGAGAAGGACGAAATTGAAGAGGAGGAAGGCCGGCTGCGAGAAATGGGGGTAAGGTAGAAGCGGTTTCCGGGAATCGCTTGGTATTCCAGCTACCGCCACTCGCGGCACCTTCCTCCTTCAAACTGCGGACAGATTCCTCTGCGGCCTCGTCGCAGAGGCCGATACAGGGACGATCGGTTCTATAGCCGCGCCGCGAAGTGTGTCAGAATTGCAAATGGACAGAGCGGCAGCCGACGAAATACAGGGACCAGTGGATGTCCGAGGACGGGAAGAGGGCGCGAATTCCAGCGTGTAATTCTCTATAAGATGGATTCGGACCGAGAGCAAGGAATTCCTGCCTTTCCGTTGCAAGTGGGGGAGTCGGTTTCGGGAAAGGGTGCGGGGGTGACGCGTTCCCTGGACAGTGGGAAAGATTCGTCCCGATTTTACGAGGGAATCGTTTCCTTTGTCCCGCTGGGAGCAACTGTCTCTTTTTCTAGCGCGTGTTTGTTTTACGACGAGCCGGATGAGACCCTCCGTCAACTCGAAGGACTCCGAGCTCGCACCCTCGATTCTGTAACAATGAAATTTTCTGCCCGCGCTAACGCCCGTTTATGGCCTCGATTTAAAATTCATAGCACGGAGTAATACGATAAACACGCTGGCCGATCCGTCGGCGAGAAGTTAACGAATCTTTTAACGAGTGGACGCCGCTCGCGTTACCCGTGAACCAATGATGCGCCGAAGAGAACGTCCAGGTTAACAGGTACCAGGCATCATTCTCTCGCTCGTAAACGCCAACGCCTCGTAATTATAACGATACGTTCCGTTTGAACGTAACGAGCCAACCGGGAGGAGATCGGAAAGCCACGGGCTCCACTCGTGGCATCGACACTTTCGGTCCGCTCGTTACGTTCATAGCGGAGGATCGCAAATCAATCAAACCTCTCCCGCGAGGAAGAGGTTTTCCGAACGAGTTAATTGACCATAGCGCGACAAGGCTCCTATTCGAGCTTCGCTTCTTCGACACTTGTTAACGCGACCTGTGTAATATGCGCGTAGAATAGCCAAACGCTTATGATCACTCACCGAGTTCAGCGCTGCACGCGATCCCTGTCGAGCTACCGAAGAGTTAGGTTATGTGTCCCGACGTTGCGTCGATCTCGTTCCAACACCTCCGATCCAACTGATCCTATGGACGATGTGTCACGAGACCACGCGAATTTCTCGAAACACGCGAACCGAATATAGAGAGGATTGGGTTTTCGAGGCTAGAAGAACACGATAAATTTACCAACGCGGCCGAATCGACGTGACGCGATCCCGAGCAAAAATGGCGGCTCGCCGATGCCCGATTGTTCCCGGATCTTCTTATACGCGGTGTAAATTGAAAAGCGTTTGATCGCTGTTCCAGTTCCTTCTACTCTTCTTCCACGGTCTCGGGGATAGTGTTCCGGACAGAAACGATAGAGATTCCTTGAAAATTTATCCGGCGTATCGTCTCAGGGCCGTATGAGGGCCGCGTTTTTCGAGCGTGGCGTGATTGAAAACGCCTGAAGCGTGGAATACGCGGTGATTCGTCGAAGACGCGTCACCCTGCGGATAATGGCTTATTAACGAAGCATCGCCGCGGCGCGCGAGGAAGCGGACGAAGCGGACGAAGCGGTCACTCGGCGCGAGGTGAACAGAGATACTACGAGGCGTCCGGGTGGAGCGACGGAGAGGCAGATGGAATCCTGATGCCGGGAGTCCAGTCACGGGTTTTGTCGACGCCTTCGAGAGAAGGGTCTTGACACAACGGGGCTTTAATTACGCCGATATCACGGTAATTAAGCCGATCAATGCGTGCCATTGTGCGGCGACCACGGGGCCCCATCCACGCCGAGGCCCATCCATAATCACGGTCATGGACCCCCTTCGTTCGACACAAAAGCACCCCGGCCCATGGGACACCGGGGTGTTTCGAGCCTTGTGTGTTACTCTTCTTTTTGCGGGGAAATCGTGTGAAAGAAGGCACAGAAATCGACGATTCGTTTAATTGAAACACGCGCACAATGCGATTCTCGCGCTGGTTCGCTCCAGTTCCTGCACGAACAATGCTCCTCCTCGTGATCCGTCGACGAATCATCGGTGCACCGTCATCGGGTAATGACACGACACGGTGAACGCTTCGTTTTCGTATTATTTGGAACCGCGGCGAAGGTAGAACGCCGTGTACGTGGAATTACCACTGCGATTTCGCCCGAATAATCCTAGCTGTTCGTGGCTCATTCCTGCAATAATCGTAGACGATTATGTTGCACGTGGCTGCAAGGCAGACCGAGACTGTGACGAATATAAATACGCTCCTTTCAATTTCTCGTCGCTGAAAGAAACGCAGCGTGGAAGCCGGTATTTCTTCGACTCGAGGGAAATCGTGTGTGAAATTCATGGCTCCGGGCGGCCACGGTCTCGTGGCACATGGTCGTTGGTCGGGGTAATCGCTGCTTGTGCAAGCATCGATACCAGAAAATCGCTCAAAATCGCTCCTCCCTAAAGCGTGCTCGCTGGGAGGTTCGCCGAGTCGCGGATACAGCCACGACAATATTCCTTGCATTAATCGAATGGGGTTTGCGTTACAATCATCCGCACGATATTTCTCGGTAATACGCGTTACCTTGCACGCTTTATCCTATGGGATCGCGAAATGGTTTCCTGGTATAGAGGCTTATTGTCAGCGTGTCTCACTGAAATATCTTGTTCAAAATCCCTGGATTAAACTAATTATAAAATTAATTTAGTAGAACTTGTCGGTAATCAGTTGCTACTTTAGGTCTAACTCCTATTGTCAAATTTTAGGACTTTAGCCGAGAATGTTCTATTTGATATGAGATCGCGAGATGGTTTCCAGGTATAGGGACTTATTGTCAGTGCTTCTCATTGAAATGATTCCTCGAAAATCCATGGATTGAACTGTGAAAATAATTTAGGAGCACTTGTCATTAATCAGCTACTACCTCAGGTCTAACTCCTATTGTCAAAGTTTAGAACTATAGCTCAGAATATTCTGTTTAATATGGAATCGCGAAATAGTTTCCAGGTATAGAGGTTTATCGACAGTGTGTCTTACTGAAATGTCTTATCGAAAATCCATGGATTGAACTGTAAAATTAATTTAAGAGAACTTGTCGGTATTCAGCTGCTACCTTAGGTCTAACTCCTATTGTCAAAGTTTAGGATCTTTACTGAAAATATTCTATTTGAGTCCTAATATTGTTAGGATTATTTTGTGTAGGAATCGTAGGAAAGAAAACAGGGAAAGAATTAAATTCTGCTGGTTAGAGCTAAAAGAATATAGAGGCCTGGCATGTAACTGAACTGTCGCGTTCCTAACGTCGCCAAAAGAAGAGAAAGATTAAAACAAATACCGGTGCAAATCCTCGCCAGGTCGATGCCAGCCCAGGCTACACATTCATCGTCACTGCACTTTAACATTTTGTCCAAATTTTATTGAGAATATTTCTTAATTTCCATTGCAATTACGAGCGAATTTAGGAGAATAGAATTCCAATAAGAGAAGATTAGACTCTGAGAAACTGTGTATTCAAAACTGCCCAAAGACACTGTACTACCTGGGTCCATATCTCCACCCTTCGGCCACCGCGATAAATCGTTTAAACGTCTAATGGAGCTCTAAGCGTTCGAGTATCGGCACCTTATCATCAAAGAAATCGATGAAACGAGGATGCATTAGATCCCCGGTGATTACAGTCGATAGGCCTCTATAGGATGAAACTCGAAGAATCTCAAAAGGCGCAGCGTCATCGTTCCTTTGTAATCTGCCCCAATTACGAAAAACCCTTCCAAGGCCGCGTGGATGGTCGATTCGAAGCGATTCAGTCTGTCTACCAACACGCGAACGCTTTGTCACTGTTTACCGTGGTTTATCCGACACGTAAAACCTGCGAGCGGAGACGAGAGGAGAAAGATTTGTTTGCGACCGCCCGCGCCGTTTTCACTGTTTGTCGTAGGAGTTAGGACGACTGGGCCTTGCCCACAAAGTGCCGCTCACCCTTCCGCTTCGAGGAACCAAGAGACCAGCCGAACGGTACACTTTTTAGCCGCTATTTGCGCCGGTGATTCACGAAATACGAGCGGAAGAGGATCATCAAGCCAAACTTCCCTGCGATCTCTCGCTCTGTCCTCCCTGGACAGATGGCACCTCCGATTGGCAAGCGTAATGTCACCGTGCCGCCTCCATTAACAGTTGTGTTTATCCACAACTGTTTGCTCCCTCTCCGTGCAGCGGAGCAGGGTGAAAAGGGTCGTTTCTTGCTATCCATATCAACCAAAATCGACGACTACTCGAACGACTACTTAGATCCTGGTAGCAGGACACGGGTGTACCCGACGAGTTAGTCGTTTTATAGAATCGGGGAACTCTGATATTCTTTTCCCGGGGGGCAAGTTTTCTAAAGAGTTCATGACGAAACTAGTACAGACAAAGGAATTCTCAAGGAACTCTGATATTCTTTTCCTGAGGGGGCAAGTTTTCTAAAGAGTTCATGACGAAACTAGTATTGACAAAGGTATGTGCACGAATGTTGCAGGTGACGGTAGCCAGCACGAGCACGACAAGCACCAACACGGTTCATCCCAGCGTAAACGACATGGACTGGTTTGCCGGTGTGGCCGAGGAGGAACTGCTGTACTACACGGGCGTCGGGAACGACGTCGACTCTCTTTGGGCTGTGATAGGGAGCTTCGTGCCTCCGCCGCCTAGACCACCTTATTTACCGGAGGAGGGTGTTACCACCGACGGACTTACCACCTGTGATTTGTGTTCGTGGGCGTGGAGGAACGACAGGCATTCCTTCTCTCTCGATGGCACCCTCGGTAAGTGCTACCAGTCGATTTCCTTTCTCCACGGAATCATTTTCCCTGCCGGTCCAGTGTCACGGATACTCGAGGTACTCGCGGGCAACCGAACGCGTCAGGAATTCGTTTACTGGAACGAATGGTAGATTTTTCTCCGCTTCCAATTAAGATCCTTTGTCCGGGTGTTTTCTTTCGCTGACGCGAGACTGGCGGATGACGGTTCCAGTGTCCCTTCCAGGACGCGGTCCTCTTGTCAGCACTTCAGCCTCTCTCTCGAAAAGGGTTGAGAAAGGCTCTGGGTAGTAACATGGAGGGCCGCGTCATTCTTTCTGTACATACTTCACCGTATTTGTGGCGTATTTGCCCAGCAAACAGCTTTTTCAGAGGATACTTCCAGCCAAGTTTCTATCCGAAACGAGGGGGCTCTGCTCCGAAATATCTCTCGGATCGGTCGCGTGTTCGAAGCTTGGTTCGAATTTTTGCATCGTGAAACGTCGCGTTGTTCGTTTTTCGAACGGGTAAAGTGGGAAGCGATTTCGTTACGACGGGACCCTCGAAGTCGATGGTCGGGTTAGTTGGAAAGGGCGGCTATTAGGGGCGAAGGAGGCAAACCAGCCTATTAGGATTTAACGTCGGGTAATAGAACGTTTGTACGCGCGTGCAGTCCCTAGAGCAAATATTAAACGACGAACTGTTGACCATCCAGTGGCGAGCAAAGCAAAGCCAGCTCGATCGAGCCGTTAATACGATATCGTCGAAAGGAAGACACGTCTGGTTTATGTACCCCGATGTATAACGCCGCGAAGAACATTAACGTCGCGTGTACCTCGAAGGCGTTGACGATGTCATAATCGATAGGAACTGGTTGAAACGCGAGAAAAAGGAAGGGGCACGCAAGGTGTACGTCTCCGAGCGTACAGGGTCCTCGGGGTGAAAGGTCGACCGTTGGGTGCACCATGGGAGGCCTGGCGCGCGTTCGTGCCTGTAAAACTTCTCTCTCCCTCTCTCTTTCTCTCTCTCTCCGTGTCCCTCATTCGACTCGCGCTAATTCTCGTGACGGACAAATTAAGACGGATAATTCAAGAGCTCGCCCTCGCTTTAGCCCGACCTCCACATCCGGCTGAGGCGTTTCGACCAATCGGAGACCCGACGCGACCACTCCTATGGCTCTCCCTACAGCGATCGCATTTACGATCCTCGAGTGAACGCGTAGCAGTGATTCGAGGTATCGAAACGATGCGAAAGAAACCCGAAAGGAACCCCTCGATTCCACGAGTAACGAGAAGAAGGGGAGCGGACGCGAGTGCAGGCCAATCTTAGCAAATTTACTACCTCCTCGCGAGACTATCGATTAATCGAAATCGGATATCGCGGGGAAGGCTTGCCGGTAAGCGAACAGTCGAATAATAACGAGGGACCAAGGGACCCCATGGACCGGTGCGCGCTCCGAGACTCGAAATCGAAACGGGACTGATTGAAAGGGGTCCCGACGGAGGCCGTGCTGTACATTCGGTCGGAAGAATTCGTCCAATCAGAAAGCCAGGTCTACCCTGGAGGACCTCCGTTCGCACGTACGCGAAAGCAAGGCATCCATACACGCGTACGTAAACGTCTTCGTAGCGTGGCAGGGTGCCCCACCTCCGTTCGAGGCCTGTTCGGCGCAGCCGCCCTCCTCCTTGTTTCAGCCCCTGCGGGCCCCATCGTTCCAAGCACGCATTATCGCCATTACCATGAATTCCAGCAGTTATTACGCCTCTGTTGCGCCGCCACGAAAATGGCGGCCCGGTGCATCCTACCGTGCAACGAGGACGCGCACCGTGTTCGGTCCCCGTCCACCGGGCCCGCTCGGCCGCCTGCGCTCCCGGCGTGTCGTTGCGCCGCTTACGGCACTCGACAATTAGCGTGGAGAATGGAGGCTTCGTTTTCTCGCCGCGTTTCGTCGCCCCTGCCCGAGATTTATTCCTCCCGCTGTCGACGTGGCCGGCCTGACGAACCGGCGGAACCCCGAGCACGCTCGTAAATTCGCCAAAGGTCGCCCGCGAGTGCGGCCGGGAACGGAACGGTACCCCGGCACCGTGGAAATTGAAACTCGCATGCCACAGTCGAAAGCCGAGCAACCTCGCGCCGGGTGATGAACAGCTCGTAATAAGCCGTGCGGCTGAATTTTAATGCCGTTATTAAAGCGATAAATCAGCGGAAAAAGATGGACGAGCCTCGTACGTCGATAAGATTGCGCGCCGATTCGCAGCCGGGCGCCATTGTCTCGGCCGAAAGCGGCGCAATTACCGCGCGAAAAACGGCAAGATAAATAGAGAGGAGGCGGAGAAGAGGGAGAGGATGAAGAGAAGAGAGGTGGTCTCGAGATGGGGGGCTGTTTGAGGCAGCCTCGCGATGGGGTAATCATCGCGTCACTTCGCATCTTCCGCGACGTAATAATTACGAGATCGCGCCTCCGACTCTCCTCGCAGTGGGTACGTACCAGAGCGCGAACTGGTCGGCGCGAAGGAGGAGACGGAAAGCCAGCAACGATGCAACGAAACGCAAAGGGACAGAGAGAAGTTAATTCGAGCTGTTGACTTTTTTCCCTGACCGGATCTCGCGAGGACGCTGCGCGATTCCACGTGGTCGAGGAACCACTACTCGTTGCAAAGTCTCTCTTTGGATTTCTAGCTGGGTGGCACGTTGTCAGGTGGCGAACGTTGTCCACTCGCTTGTTCTGGAGAGTGCACGCGTTTCGCAGAGGTCGCGTAATAAACTCGGATTAATACCTCTTCCCAGAGACACGGTAGATGTATTCGAGATTGACAGCAGCAATCGCAAAGCATCGCGAGGTACCGCGAAGGGTCTCGATGAAGAAGGATCGATGCCCGAGGCGACGCATTTCCATCGACGATCGCCGCTCGATCTCGAGGCATCGTCGATCGACAGGTCCCGTTGGGGCAAAACGAGGCTGCACCTAGCGGAGTGCCGACAACCGCAAAGGGGCACGCTAACGCGACGATAGAAGCGTCGTGGCAGCGTGGATCCCGCGCAGGAAGTCAAAATCGCCGCGTGAAGCTCCGCTTGAAAGGCGAAGGTTCGCGGCGGAGCCGAGAGGTAATCACGCGATGCCGCACGAAATGATCGCAGACCGCCAATTAGAACGCGAGGCCGCGCGCTGATTGTAATAGCACACACGTCGAACAGCCGCCAAGAGCGTGCAAAAGCGCGGGACAACTTCATACCCTCGCAGCGAGTGGCATTTATCGACGCGGCGGACTCGGTTTAATCGGCCACTCGTTAGGATATCCCTGTGTTTCGCAAAAGCACGTCCGTCCACGCCTGAGTCATCCTTTTAATTCGCGTTACGCGCCCCCGGCTACGTATATTCGTATTGGGCCGATGTTATCTCTCGTTGCGTATATACGCCTGGTCCCGGGCTGCGTAACGAGGCCTCTTCTTCTCTTTGCTCGTCCCACCAGCATCCCCCTTTTTCTCCCTTTACTCTCGTCCTTTCAGACTTTCTCACCGGGAGCGTTCTTGTCGTTGCCGTTGTTCATCCTCCATCTCTCTTCGCCGCGAAGCAGCGTCGCACCTCTGGTAAAACCTGCGTAACGCCTCGAGACGCGGGTGCCCCGAAGAGTCGCTGAGACTGCTCGCGCGAAATTGACTTTATACAGATTATCTCTCGGTTATCGAACCTACTCTCTCCTTACGTTTTGCATATATTTAGAGTAAAGAAACTCGAGTTTGTAGAGGAACGCTTCGATAACAGCCTCTCTCGCTCTCTCCCTCTCTCCTCCATCGGAGGCTTCTCCACGCGAACGCGTGTGCGTCGTGGTACCCTGGATAACCAGCGTGTAACGCCCGGAGACTCGAGTGCCTGGAAGGGTGGAAGAAATTAACTCTTAAAGGTTATTGTCCGATTATCGAGCTTCCCTTTTATCTACATCTCCGATACCGCGTATCTAGAATAAGAGAACTCGCGTTTACGAGCGAACCCCTCTACGACGAGTTCACTTTTACGTAAACGAGCGGGAACGATAAATCGTCGGAAAGGAGAGAGCCCCGAGCCTCCCGTTTAATTGAGCCCCGCATCTAATCGAGGAATCCATTGGTCATCGCGGTCCTTTTCCCCCCGTGGCCACGATGTCGCATGTTCGGTTGGCAGAAAAAACGAGTAACAGGCTGGTTCGCGCCCGTAAAGTGCGAGCTCCAGAAGGATGCAAACGAGAGCGAACCCCGGGCCCCCTTTCGTGCGACCGAAAATTTTTCGACCGCACCCCTCCCGTTCGTCCCGGCACTTTTATATGCTCTCTCTCCGAGCCGCGTACTTTTAATCTTAGAGGCAATCTCGCCCACGTAGATTTATTGGCGGCGGTTCCTTGCGCGCTGCAGGGCTACCGTGCACTCGTGTGCGCCACCCCCTTTGATTGCGTGCACCCCGATTCGTTACGTGTGCTCGCATTTATCGGCCGCTTACGGTTAATCCGCGCGCGTCCCGCCGTGGAATTGTTCTCCGCTCTGCTCCGCTCCGCTCGAACGTCTATCGCCGAAATAAAGCAATTCGACGTCGAAAGGGGGGGCACAGGTAAAAAAGAATCACGAACGACCCTCTGCGGAGCACGGGCTCGGGCCAAAGGTAGATATTCGTAAATTCCACGCTCGCTTTTGCAAATATCCCCGGTAGTTTCGAGGATTCCTCGTTTTTCAGCGACTTTCCGCGAAAGCCATTAGTTAACAAGGCCCTCTCGAGTCCATAATCTTGATAGGCCTTGCGCGCGAGACGTCGTCACGACAAACGAGCTTCTCACGAGGAACAACCAATAATTCAAGCGAAACTACCACGAGCGCGATGATTCACGCGGCAACGCGAACGTGTCGTTTCACGAGCCGGTATGAAAAATGCGTTAGCGGCCGTGGAGCGGACGGCGCGAAGAAAAAGATTGCGAAATTGTATTTGCATGGCAAATTGAAACCGGATAACAGTCGTAACGGGGCTGATCGTCGGACGATTAATTAACCGCGTCGGCAGCGTT